GCGTGTTTTAACGGGGATTGAGCGTGAATTCAACGCGCGTTCAATTTTTCAACGCGGAACCCGCGTTGAATCCAGTTTCGGGCACACAGGTGCACAGTCCCGAACTCGTTAAAGCCAACTGCAGCGTGTGCTTGGGCGCACAGTCCCGAACTAGGTAAAGTCAACTGCAGTGCGCGCCTGCGCGCACAGTCCCGAACTCGGTAAAGCCAACTGCAGCGCGCGCCTGGGCACACAGTCCAGAACTAGGTAAAGCCAACTGAAGTGCGCGCGTGGGCGCACAGTCCCGAACTCGGTAAAGCCAACTGCAGTGCGCGCCTGGGCGCACACTGCAGAAAGCTCATATATGGCTCTTGGGTGTGGTGTGCGCACGGCGCACAGATACGAATTGCAATGGCTCAGATTTGGCCCTTGACGAACAATTGCAAATGGCTCGAAAATGGCCCTCAGTCGTGGTGCACACACAGCACAGTTCAGACATGGCCTTCAGACTTAGGCCTCAAGCATGGTGCGAACAGCGCACAACATGGTGCGAACAACACACAGTCCAGATATGGACTTCAGTCATGGCCCTCAAGCATGGTGCGAACAGCGCACGGCATGGTGCGAACAACACACAGTTCAGATACGGCCCTCAGACATGGCCCTCAAGCATGGTGCGAACAGCGCACGGCATGGTGTGAACTGCGCATAGTTCAGATATGGCCCTCAAGTACAGTGCGTACTCGACGCACAGTTCCAAATGGCCCTCAGGCCTGATACAGGCAAATTCTAAAAATCGGCTTGATGACTGCGCAGGCACGGTCTCAAGATTGGCTTGTTTCTCAGTGTGGCTGCGCAGGCAGTCTTAAAATCAACTTAATTACTCAAAGTGGCCACGCAGGCAGTCTCAAAATCGGTACAACACCTGCATTTATCAAAGAGCGTAATGTCGCACTTGGACTAAAGTGCGCACAGTCGCAATTTCCGAGATCATCAGAAGCAAGGTTTACAAATTGAAATGTCGTAACTGGCGGGTTGGACGCGCAGTGTCGCAATCCGAGTGCGCACACTCGCAGTCCCTCAAAGTCACTTTGGCAAGGCTTTGCAGATCGATTATGTGAAATCACACTTTGCGCTGTATCGCACGTAGATGAGCACAGTCGCAGGGACATGCTCAGATTAAGTTCTCTTTAGGCGCAGCAAATTGGCATGCTTCAATTGATTGCCTCCTTGCACAACCGATCAATAGGCTAAAATCGAGTGCCCTCTTGGCACAATAAATGGATCAGCATACTCAATTTGAGTGTTTCTCGACACAACCTGGCAAAGGATTATAAAAACTCAGTTCCAATGACTCTCGGCACAGCTAATCAGCAGACTCAATTTGATTGCTTGTCGACGCTCGTCTCAAAGTCAACCCTCAGATACAGCACGTGAGTGCAAAGTTCATAGCCAGTCATCAGGTGCAGTGCTCTTCAGTGCTCAACTCAAGGTCAACCCTCAGATACAGCACGTGAGTGCACAGTTCATAGCCAGTCATCAGGTGTAGTGCTCTTCAGTGCTCAGCTCAAGGTCAACCCTCAGATACAGCGCGTGAGCGCACGATTCATGACCAATCAACAGAGCTCAGGTAGAGTGCGCACAAATCAGATACAGCACGTACACAGCCCATGGAGGTGGTCGGAGAGAAGAGGGAGTGAAAGGGAAGAAGGGAAGAGAGAGAAGAAAAAGGATGCGAAAGGGAAAGTGAGGGGTCAGTCTTCCCCCCCTTTTTTCCTTATCCCTTCCCTGGCTTGCCTTCTGCTCGACTCTCTTGCCTCCTGCTCCATGCTCCTCTCATGTTCCTACTGGCAAGTTGCTGTTCTTTGGCTCGTGCCTTCCGCCCCTTGCCGTTCCGCCAAGGCTGTAGCGCTCCCGCAGGTGAGGGTTCTCTCACAGTCTGATCCGTGCCATGTGTGTCACGCATGCTGATCTGTCTCCTTGGGTGACGTGGCCTCTCTTTTATAATGGAGAGGCCAGGTGATCGGGGCTGAGTGCTACAGTCCCATGGTCGGGGTTGTGGTCAAACTCTAGACCGGGCCTGTGCTAAAAATAGCAGCAGTCCCGACCTCGGGATATGAACAGTCAGTCCCGACAAACCAACAGTCAGTGCCATGCTAAAAATAACGTGGGGCTGTGCTAATTTTAGAACGGGACTGGCGCAGGCCCAGTCCCCGGTAGACGAGCAGTCAGTCCCACGCTAAAAATAGCGTGGGACTGTGTTAATTTTAGAACGGGACTGGCGCAGGCCCAGTCCCCGGTAGACGAACAGTCAGTCCCACGCTAAAAATAGCGTGGGACTGTGCTAATTTTAGAACGGGACTGCGCAGGCCCGACTTTGGGAGACGAACAGTCAGTCCCGTGCTAAAAATAGCACACGACCCTATGCGAGAGCCCGACGGCTGCAGTGGGAACACTCCTTTCAACATGAAGAATGCAGCAAGCCTCAATCCGCTGCGATGCTAAGTGATCTTCGCCCCGACCATATGATCGGACAGATCACTCCATCGATTATGACACATGACTGACTACCCATCCCTTTAGAGTTTGGTAGCGCTTAGCCGCGAAGGCCCATCTGGAAAGGAACCCCAACACGGCGATGCTGAGTCCCTTGTCACAGGAACACTTCACTAGGCTAAGTACCACCCTCTTTCAGAGATAACCAATCAACTTGTGTCAGATGATGCTAGGCAATCCCCCTTACGCAATCGTACTAGAAAGTTGCCCCATCAATTGAGCGCTGACTTATGAGAGGAAGAAAACAAATTTTTACTTTATCCCACAACCATTCATTTCACAATGTCATTCAGACCAAATAAAACACAATAAGAGGCAAGAACTGAAATCCCATAAACAGGCTCCCAATCCCCCAGGCATGTCCTAGGACTGACACATGACAAGCTAGATACAATGCAATGAACTGAAATTTTAAAATTTTAACTTACATACATACAAAACTGGGGTCAGTCTGGGCCCGACAGACACATAAGTCCACCATTGAGCCGAACCATCATAGGCTGCTCATATCCAGCTCCGACATCCGAAATCATATCATAATCATAGCAAGCCGACTATTGGATGTTGCTGGCGACACACGGGCCACGTCCCAGCACATAATCATCATCAATAGCTGGCGGCTCACTGGCCACGTCCTAACACAAAATCATCATTAGTAGTTGGCGGCAACATTGTCCACGTCCCTGCGTAAAATCATTACCTGAAGCTGGCGGCACACTGTCCCTGTCCCAGCGTATAATCATCATCTGAAGCTGGCGGCACATTGTCCACGTCCGAGCGTATAATCATCATTTGTAGCTAGCGGCAACACTGTCCACGTCTCGGCATATAAAACATTTGTAGTTGGCGGCACAATGTCCACGTCCCAGCGTATAATCATCATCGTAGCTGGCGGCAACACTGTCCACGTCCCAGCATAAAATCATCATGTGAAGTTGGTGGCACACTGTCCACGTCCCAACATATAATCATCTGAAGTTGGCGGCACACTGTCCATGTCCCAGCATATAATCTCTGAAGCTGGCGGCACATTGTCCACGTCCCAGCATATAATCTCTGAAGCTAGCGGCACACTGTCCACGTCCCAGCATATAATCTCTGAAGCTGGCGGCACACTGTCCACGTCCCAGCATATAATCTCTGAAGCTAGCGGCACACTGTCCACGTCCTAGCATATAATCTCTGAAGCTGGCGGCACACTGTCCACGTCCCAGCATATAATCTCTGAAGCTGGCGGCACACTGTCCACGTCCCAGCATATAATCTCTGAAGTTGGCGACACATTGTCCACGTCCCAGCATATAATCTCTGAAGTTGGCGG